GATAATTAGTTTGGGTACATCATGAATGGAATGCTTTCTTGCATTAGCAAACACTTGAACCTTGAACAACAAATAGGTAGGGCACCAACCCCCCATTTTGCCATAGTGGAAAATTTGAGTGGAAATGTTGATTCCCCAAAAGCTTAACTACAATCATACCTTGGTGTCCATGGGGGATTGGTTCCAGGACCACCCAGTGGATACCAAAATCCATGGTTGTTCAATCCATGGATGTGCATGATATTCGTGCACTGGGGGCTGGAGGTGGTTGTCCTCAGCCTGGCCTGTGCCCTCCCTCAGTCTGGGACCCCTTGCAGCGATTCTCAACCTGTGGGTCACAAACAATGAAACGATTCACAACAGTAGTAAAATTACAGCTATGAAGTAGCAACAAAAATAATTTTATGGTTGGGAGTCACCACAACATGAGGAACTGTATTAAAGGGTCACAGCATTAGGAAGTTTGAGAATCACTGCTATGGGATGTCGCCTGCTGACTTAGGCCCGCTCCCCATTGGACATCCCTCTCACAGTCCAGGGTTCTCATAGTCTCAGGCTCTCGCAGTCCGGGACCCCTTGCTCCTTACTTCCCACCTGCAGCAGAGGCAGTAGAGGCTCACACCACTGTCGCTGCACTCGCCAGCTGTGAGTCCAGCTTCTGGCTGAGCGACACTCCCCCTGTGGGAGCACGCTGACCACCAGGGGGCAGCTCCTGTGTTAAGCATCTGTCCCGAGTTTTCAGTGCACATCATACCGACCACTAGTTCCTCTGTTCGGTCTAATTGCATATTGGGGTTTTATTATATAGGACTAGAGGCCCGGTGCACAAAAATTTGTGCACTCGGGGGGGGGGGGGAAAGGAGGAGTTTGAGGATGGGACTCTTCTTGGGCTTCCCGAGACAAACAGAGAAAAAAGTCTGGAAGGTGAAAGTAAGTAGAGGGGGCGCAAAGGATGAGAAACGCGACGGTTATTTTCTTATGTAAAACAAGACCGTGGATACCCCCCGTTTATCGATTTTTTGTATTTTTTGTTTTTTTTTT